AAGTCTTACTCATGGCAATGTCACAGTTGAAGAGCCGTGAACTAAATTGTTTAGTGATCAAACACTCACGACTCATAACTCACGTCATGTAAAATTCCTTGTGTTAGTGTATTTACTATAGGCATGACTAAATCACGTGGTATAAGTACAAGATAGATAGCGAAAATTAAACTGAGAGCACGATAAAATTGAGCAAAGAAAACTCAAGGGACAGAGGTGTATGTTCCTGATCCAGGCCTAGATCTAAAATGTGTAATCTCCATTAGAGCTATTTATAGATAGTCCCTCGCACGAACAGGTCGATATGGGGGCTAACCTCGATCGTATGCTCATAGATAGGAAAGGAACTGGTATTTTACACGAAATACTATTTAAATGTTTGACTTTCCAATTTTGAAGCCACTGTTGTTTCCGGGGGAAGTGAAACGTGCTGAGACAGTTTCAATTCATACAGTTTGAAGTATTAAAAACATGAACAAGGATCCGGATAAGCGGTAACAGCTTTCTCTTTTCAGACAACTCTTGCAGCACTGCTTGAACTATTTAAAGCATTAAAACATCTGTAAACGTTTACGAATTTCTTTCCGCTTTTTCAGTTTCTAGCATCTATTTCGTACATCTTTAATAATAATAATAATAATAATAATAATAATGTAATTAATAATGATAATGGGAACAATGACAATTTTGGTGGTTGACATTCCTTGAGGTGGCTCTTCTTGAATTCCTTCCACCGTAATTCTCTTAAAAAAGTGACGAAATTGAAACAGGTCTACCAGTAAATGCCTATTTCTTATTTCGAGTGCCAAACATCCTCTTGGTAGGAAGGCAGGGGGTTTTTGATCAATTTAAGCTCATGCATCCTACAGTCATTACATAGTGCCTGCCGCGTATAATGGAAATCTCTAAGAGAGGAGGCAGCCAATAGGATTAGGCTTTTTGTTCTGATTGTAATGAATCTTAGCTAATCCTACCAGTCATTAAATAATCTAAAAATTAATAAAATTAGAATACTAGCCGCCAGCAAAGCAGCCGGTCGATAGAAGTATTTAAAAGCAGGGTTTATCACAGGTCCGAAAAATGAATGAATCGTAGGTTGGAAGTGGAAACCATAAGAAGCGCACACATAGATTTCATTGAACACCAGCCCAAGTCTAAACACTGCTTTAAACACGTTTAGCCGTACAGTAAATGTAAGATAAGTGCTTGGAGTATCCACAGACAGTGATTAGATCAGTGGAAGGCAAGAACACGGGAAAATGAAGGATGGGGTTGGACGGGGAGAGAGGGAAGGGGCTGATGAATAACAGCAGCTACTTAACTGCTTGTAAACTCAACAAGTAAATAAATGAAGTTCACCTCCCTAATAATCATACAACTGCCTTCAATTCAACTCTACGGACAACCTCTTGTGGGCCAAGGAAACTGGGTTTCTAAAGACTTCAGGTAAAACTAGGACTTCAAAATTATGAAGAAATAGCTGCCCTTGAGCTTGAATATCACGTAATCTTCAATGCTAGGCCTCGGACAAACTGTTAAAAACCGGTTGTTCTCGAAAAAACCGGTAAAAACATATTTTCAAAGCTTTCTCTTGAAACAATAGCTTAAAAAAATAAATTAAAAAAACTGACCTTGTAACTCAACTGTTCAACATATCATCTCGAAACTCCCTCATTCAATGCGTGGTTTCATAGGGTGCCATGAGCGACGAGAAAACCTTTTGTAGCATTATTTTTCTTCTGAATTTCCATATCAAAAGCTAGTGCGCTCTAAAATAAAAGAGACTAGAAAGAAAGATAAAGAAACCTAGGGACGCGAGAAAACATTTACCGAGGAAGACAAACAGGAGCAAATCAGGAGGCCAAAGGTTTAAAAAAGGAAACCAAATTAATAATTGATTACAAGATATCGAGTCATTAAAAGCAGATGTTTGCAAAGCCCATGTAAAAGCTTAATGCTGCATGTCTGTGGCATTGCGAAATCATGTATCCCCATGAAAATCATTTCTCTTTGAGCTAGAAGAATATGATGGCTTTTTTCTATTTATCTGCCAATTTTCTTGCTCTGGTTGTATCGGCGAGCTCTGTGAAGACTTCAAAAGGTATCATTTTTTCCGTTGCAGTGATGCTCGCGTTCCTTTCTGCTTTATTCTCCTGATATCTAATTATGTTTTAAAGAACGTATAAGCCAAAACAATTTTAATCGGTCATCTTCATTTCTTTATCAAACACAGGGCATACGCCAAACGATGGGGTTGTCTTCACCGATTTTCTTGCTCACAATGGCTACTACTTGAACATCACAACTGTTGG